TTGGATTCGACTCCGGAACTCAACAGAAAGAAGCAGAAAACCATCTTACGATCCACGTTATCTGATTTCAGTGCGTGGTAACGCTGTACAAACTTGCACTAATATATTTTTTTCTTCCCCCATGCGTAAACCCTCCATGTTGCTCAAATGAGTGGCTAATGAATACAAATCAGAGCATTGTACATTGTCGATTAACGAACAAACCATTGTGGTCAGAAAAGTATGAAGGAATGTAGCTTGGATGCTCTCCGTAAAATTTCTAGCTTGTAGAATGTCCAGGGTAGTGTGGCTCGGTGGGATTTGTATTGCTGTTGGGAGGTATAAAGGATGTGTTAGGTGTGGACATTGGGATGATGCTTGGCGAGAGATTGAGCACGATGTGAGATATTAGTTGTTCAACACTCTGCTCGAAACATCTAGGAAATATTAGGAGTTCAGGAACAGAACAAAATGACTTACTTAAGGTTACTGGGATGTAGGTGCTGTCTTATGTCGGTAAAAACCTCCTCGATGCAGCTCAGTTCGCTGTTGCTCATTCGGTTTTCTTGTAGATGCTAAGTCGTTAATTAGCTGAAGTGACCGAACACCTACCGACAACAGCGTCAGAATTGTTGTCAACTTCGCAACTAAAACAAACTTTGATTCATCTACCGTGGAGGAACCCTACAAGGAAAATATGTCATCTGAAACAGATAACGAACGAAAGCAACAAGCTAAGCTAGATGAGTAAGCAAACCTGAGAAGCCTTTAGTCTGTTTACGATTTCGTACGCTTCATCTTCGCAACGTCTACGCCAGTCCGTCACAAGAACATCTTGCATTCCATACTCTCTGGCAACCTAGGGTAAAAAAGCATCCAAGTTTCCCATTTATTATCATTTTCCCGGGAACTGCAATTGAAAAGAACAGAATGCTCTCAGTGTAGTGTAAGACTAAGCTGAACCTGTTCCTTAAGCGAGGCTTGTCTTAAACCTTCTCCATAGTACAATGAAGACGTGGATCTGTATTAAATTAACATCGAAAAAGTGCAGGACGATTTGGCCTAATTAACTGGAACTCAACAGCAGAACACTTGAAAGAACAAATAGGAGCGAAACCGTATAAACTGGAGAAGACCAATAATTTTGGTCTCAGAATAAACTACATCGCACGATCCACCAGATATCGGGAGGGTATCAATCACTTCTTGTGACTCGTAAACGGGAAGCACTGAGCACTGCCGAGATGGCATAGAAACATGAAATTCGTGGTCTCGATAGTGGGGAACATATCCATCTGCATTAATGGGTGGCGGAGTCTGAAAGTCACATAAATTCATAGAGCCTGTAAACCCACCAAAACAGAAAGTGAGAGACAAAAACGCATCACCTTAAGAAGAGGTCTTACCTCTGTGATATGACGAATCACTATGTTAATATGATACTTTAGCTCTTGATTCAATTCGTCAAGATGTAAGATAAGAGTAGCATATTTATGCTGAAATTCAGGAGTTACGGGAGAAGGCTCATTTGGAACCTACAAAAAGAAATGCTTTGCTTAAAACTAATTTTACGAAGTAATTCAAATGATAAGAATTAACTAACAAACCTGAAATTCAACCGCTTCATTCATTTCCCTTAAAACGGCTACCGCTTTTTGCTTCTTCGCCAAAATACGCTCCATTTTGACCTATGATAGCAGTTTTTTCTGTGAAAACCAATTGAAATCTTACAAGACTGACCAAAAAATCCGTCATAGCATCACAGTGATCACGGAGTACAACTGTTTTTGTTTTACATACGTCACCATAGCGCATAACTGAGGACGAATTTGAGCCTTCAAGAATTACACGACCTGAGAATCCGGAATTGTCTATGTCATCCACATTAGACGCAGATTCATCACAAAATATTCCTAAAGAAAAAATTAATCAATAGGCCATGAACCTTGCTTTGTTTCGACAGAAGGAGAATTTTCTCCACCATAGTTGGAAAATAAGTCAGAACCGCAATGACTAGTGTTCCCCTTCAGTGCCATATTCAGGTTCGGTAAATAAATCACAGGAATGGATGTGAGTTTGTGAGACAATGCGCCCAGTTTAGAAACGATGTACTGACTTATATGGAATGACTGCAATATACCAACTCTAAACGAGCACGAAAAAGACAATGAAACTCAGTGACAAGTAAGTGAAAAAAGGAAAGCTTTAATAAGTGTTGCAAAAAATGACCTGCGATAACTAATCAAAGACAAAGGAAAAAGACGAATCTCAGAACATAAGCATAGCTTTTCTATGCTAAATTGATCAAATTATCGTAGAGCAGAACACCACCGCGCCCAAGAGCGCATAACTGGCGCATTTCTTCCTTTTACAAATAGTGCAGATCATGAGATATTTGTTAGAATAGAGGTGTAGTTATCAGTTCGATAGCATGTGCACCAAACCCCATTAATCTACTGACAATTACTTATACCGCTGCAACATCATAACCCCGGGTGGCAAATAGAAAACTCGCCAGAGTAACCTACCGATGACACACCATCACAAATTACAAGCCCATCGGTGCACCTCGAAAGAGCCGCAATCAATGCACCTAGTTATTTCCACGTGCATCAGACGGGTATATGATACTAAAAGTCACTGTAAATGCTGCATTCAAATAGAAGCAAATATACCCTATCTCATCTTTTCCATAGGTTTTTAATTTTACAACTTCAATAATTTCAGCTTTTATATTGCTTGTATGTGATATACAAGCTAATCAAAACTTTCATCTTAAGTACAAAAAAATATTCATACGCAAACACTAAATAATTGCTTGTAAGATAGAAGCCTTTGTTAAACAGAGCACGTACAAAACCGTAAAAATGAAGTATCTAGCTGCTTCTAGCTATAGAATAGTAAAACCTAAATTAAAAATTTTTTACTCTAAATGTATCTATAATTACACATTAACTCCTAGTTTATAGCGTAGTACACATTTCACTTGAACATCAAACTGTATGTCAAGCTCCTCTGCAAAATATACATCAGAGGTTGCTTACTTTGAAACCCAAATTTTTATGCTTAATCCATTTTGCACATGGAATAGCTTCTTGTTTTATTTTTTCATCGAATTTCTTAAGGTGAAAACAGAGGCAGTTTTGGCGGATTTGTGATCACAATCTAGGGATGGGTTGTCCTACTGAGTTTCAGCTGGAGTTAGATCCGGAACTTGAGAAGCATCCTTTGCCACGGCCTCCTGAGTACTTGAAACACCAGGTGTACGACCGTGTTGATGTATTTGAAAAAATAGACAATCATGCTATTGAGGTTCCTGATTGGAAATATTTCTAATCTTCTCCGTAGATTTCAAAGCAAGATTTCCCTTCCTTTACACATCTAATGTGGAATCTTGTGTTTCGCCATAAGATGTCTGAGATTGAGCGAGCTAGAGTGATATTTCGATGGATCGCATCAAAAAATATGCAGAAAATAACGTTTGATAGCGTCCCTCCAAATTCTCCAGAGGAGGTGCTTCTATCATTTAAAGATAACAAAACAAGTTTTGCAAGAATTTATGAGATAATGTGCACGTGAGTATTTATATTTTTTGCTGATCACCTTGATGCACATCAAATAAATCTTCAAGTTCCTTTTTCGTATGTTGGTGGTTCAAATTGTGTCTGGTAATATAGATACGCCGGACTTCATTGCGTTGCAATTAGTGGCTACGCTAAAGGAGTGGATTACTTTCCGGGTGATCATTTTCAAGGTCTTCCAGCAAATCACTCGTGGAATGCTGTTTACCTAAGGGGCTCGTGGCAGCTCGTGGACGCGCACTGGGCTACTCGTTATCTTAGCTCTGGAGCAAATATGCAAGATAATGTGGTCTACGAATATGATGATTTTTACTTCCTTATGGAGCCACAGCAGGTGTGTTCCATTAGTTCTCTTTGCTTGCTTAAAAGGGGATATTTTATGATCCAACTTCCGCTGGCTTGAGGGTGACATGAGCTCTTTTAAATTTCTTTATTATCTTACTGAACTCCTTAAAGGATTTAGTGACTTTTTCACTTTTATTCATGCATATTTGACTATTTTAAAAGGAGGCATCTTCGTCCTAAAGCTCGGTTCTTCTTTGCTTTGTGTGGTGGTATTTCCTGAAATGCAGTTAATATAAGAGACCAGGTTCAAGGTATCCCTCACCTGCCTAAAATATACTAGTTTAATAAAAGTTCACCTTTCATTTGTGTTTTTATTGTCAGTTAACATTTCTTTTAACTTTCAACTCCAAAGATTTTTATTTTTTCACCCTAAAATATGAGCATTTCCGTAAACTACCCTGTGTATTTCTTAAAAATAGTTTTTTTAACCTTGGTTCCCCTTTACTCATCTTTTCGTCGGGGAATATATAAAACTATGAAGCTATTATTTGTTGAGACACTCATTAACAATGTACCCGATCAGAGTAGTACGGCAGGCTCCTAGCATTTCTCAGGCCTTTTTAATTCGCAATTAAGCTTTTGATCATGAAGAGAGAGGAAATTTGAGGGTTTAACTTTTCTTTTGTGTTCACCTTTACCTTAGTTCTAGCGGGAAGTGAAGTGTAACCATCCTAA